TGTACACTGCCCATCAGGGAACTGATGATCAGTGTGCCCTGATGATCAGTGTAGCCCCAGCAGTGCCACCTGTCAGTGTCCATCAGTGCCTTGTGTCAGTGCTCATCAGTGCCTTGTGCCAGTGCCCATCAATGCCACATATCAGTGCCCAACTGAGCTGCCTTTCAGTGTCACCCATCAGTGCCAGTCAGTGCCACCTATCAATGCCAATCAGTGCCACCTATCAGTGCTGCCTATCAGTGCCAGCTAGTGCCGCCTATCAGTGGCAGTCAGTGTCGCCTAACAGTGCCAATCAGTGCCGCCTAACAGTGCCAGTCAGTGCCGCCTATCGGTGCCATGTATCAGTGCTGCCTTTCAGTGCCCATCAGTGATGCCTGTCAATGCCCATCAGTGCCACCTACCAGTGCCTCCTAATCAGTGCCCATCAGTGCCACCTATCAGTGTCCATCACTGCAGCCTCATTAGCGCACATCAGTGAAGGAGAAAAATCACTTATTTACAAAATTTTATAACAAAAACAAGGAAAAACTTTTTTTTTCAAAATTTTCAGTGGTTTTTGGTTTAAGAAAAAATAAAAAAAACCCAGAGGTGATTAAATACCACCAAAATAAAGCTCTATCTGTCACAAAAAAAATGATAAAAATTTCATATGGGTACAGTGTTGCATGACCGCGCAATTGTCACTCAAAGTGCGACAGCGCTGAAAGCTGGAAATCGGCCTGGGCAGGAAGGGGGTATAAGTGCCCTGTAGGCTTGTGGTTAAAGATGGCCTCTTTGCACTTCAAGCCTCGCTTAGTTATTCCCGGACACGGAAGTGACATATGACGCTCTGGGTCTGGGAATAGCTAAGTGAAAGCTAGGATTATAACTTCTTTTTTTTTTTTCTTTAACGGGTGAACTGGATGGACTTTTGTCTTTTTTCAGCCAGATGAACTATGTAATCTAAACGCTGCATTCGATCTGCTTTAGTGAATGGTGCTCACTGACAGCTGTATGTTAGACAAATGTTATATTCACTAGATTTATAATCCTCACTTACATGAATGCTCCGGATTTCCTGAACAGTTAAGGACCCTCTTGTTCTTAAAGCCTTCTTCTCAGGTTTCTGTGATATAAAGAACAGTTTTGTTTACAAATCAAACGGAAGTCTGGACATAGGAGACAGCAGCTTTATTAAAACTTGTAAGATGTCTGAAACATTTTCCAAATTCCGAAAGGTGTTACGGAAGCTTTACAGATTTGTCTAATCGCTCATTGAACCTGTACATTTCTAGCTGCCCTTCCTAGGTCTTTTGTTGTGGAGACTGCTCACCGACAACCGTGGTGTCCTACTGGACCCTCAGAGGAGATTACGTAAAAAAAAAATTAAATGGATGATAATGTCACATTGAGTTTTGTCTAGTCCACGGGTGCCAAAGTGGCGGCCCTCCAGCTGCTGCCAAACTACAAGTCCCATGAGGCATTGCAAGATTGACAGTTACAAGCATGACTCCCAAGGACAGAGGCATGATAGGACTTGCAGTTTGGCAACAGCTGGAAGGCCGCTAGTTTGACACCCCTGGTCTAGTCCATAGAATTCGTTTTGGGAGCTCAACACTTTTCATCACGGCCAACCATAAGAGTTACACTCAAAGTCACCACACAGATTTGTAAATGGATAAAATCTTCTATGGAGTGTACAAACTAGTGTGGCTCGCCCATCCATTCTATTTCCTAGGAAGAAGGACTATGCAAGGAAAGAAAAGTATTCAGGTGATATCCTACCCAGTGTGTCATGGTGCCATCAGGACAGAAAGCAAGAGGACATCTTGGCCATGTGGGCAACAACAATAGAATGTCAACAGAGGTTGCAACTAGGATTGCACTGCTACAGATACTGGCATCGGTATCGATACTAAGCATCTGCACCTGTATTTTGTACTTCTGCAAATGCTCTGATACCAAAACTGATACCTTTGCTGTGTGATTTGAGCCCATACAAAATTAATGCATAGAATCTAGTGGTGCACCGAAATGAAATTCTGGTGCTGAAACCGAAACATCAAAATGAACTTGGCCGAAAACCGAAATGCGCAATTTTTAAAAATGAATATATTTTTTTTTAGAAAATACACTTTGATTAAAAAAAACAAAAAAAAAAAAACAATATATACCCCCATTTTTTTTGTAAAATATGAAAGAGGATGTTACGGTGAGTAAATAGATACTCAATATATCACGCTTTAAAATTGCGCACGCTCGTGGAATGGCATGAAACTGCAGTACTTAAAAATCTCCATGGGTGATGCTTTAGAAAATGTCTACAGGTTAGCAGTGTAAAGTTACAGAGGAGGTCTAGAGCAAGAATTATTGCTCTTGCTCTGATATTTATGGCGATACTTCACATGTGTGGTTTGAACACCATTTACATATGTGGGCATGGCCTATGTATGTGTTCACTACTACATGCCAGCACAGGGAGGACAGGGGCACTTTAAATTTTTTTTTTTTAATTTTTTTTTTTTTTTGCACTGTCTCTTTAAAAAAAATTTTTAATCACTTTTATTCTTATCACAAGAAATGCATGCATCCCTTGTGATAGAAATAATTAGTGACAGGTCCTCTTTATGGAGAGATATGGGGTCAATAAGACCCCACATCTCTCCTCTGCAACGTAAAGCATTGGATCAAAAAAAAAAAAAAAAAGCATTGATCTAGTGCTTTAAAAAAAAATAAAATAGCCAGAACCGGAAGTGACCACTCCGGTCCTCCATGGGCATAGAGATGAATGGAAGCCAACTTTCCTTCACTCATCTCTATGCCCAGCGCCGAGATCGCTCGTTGATTTCTCAGGTAAGGCTGAGAACTACCAAGTGGTGGCAGCGGCGAGGGGCGGGGTTTTCTCAGCACCTGTACCGGTGCTTTTTTTCATTTCGGCTGACAGGGGTGCTTTTGGCTGAAACGTTTCGGTCACCAAAGTTTCGGTGCATCCCTAAAAGAATCGCATGTGATTTGGACAGGAATGTGGTGTGATTCCTGTCCGAATCACATGCGGTCTTCCTGCACCGCTCCTGTGTGATCAAATAACATGCGATTATTGATTCTTTTAATTTTGTATAGGCTCAAATCGCACCGCACCATATGCTATTGAAAATTGGTATCTGCAAGCATAAGTATTGGTACTTGTACTCCGTTTAAAAAAAAAAAAAATTAGGTATCGATGAATCCCTAATTGCAATCCTTCCATACTCTGTCCGAAGCTGGAAAGAAAAAAAAGGAGTGGCAGGAGTGTGGTTTTATGAGTGATTTGCTAAGTTATAGGGGCCATCTAAACATTTGCCTTTTGTCTTGATTTCCTTCTGAAAAACAGCACTCATAGCTCTACAGTGGGGATCGAAAGTTTGGGCACCCCAGCTAAAAATGTGTATTAATGTGCATAAAGAAGCCAAGGAAAGATGGAAAAATCTCCAAAAGGCATCAAATTACAGATTAGACATTCTTATAATATGTCAACAAAAGTTAGATTTTATTTCCATCATTTACACTTTCAAAATAACCGAAAACAAAAAAATGGCGTCTGCAAGAGTTTGGGCACCCTGCAGAGTTCATATCTTGTACTGCCCCCTTTGGCAAGTATCACAGCTTGTAAACGCTTTTTGTAGCCAGCCAAGAGTTTTTCAATTCTTGTTTGAGGTATCTTTGCCCATTCTTCCTTACAAAAGTCTTCCAGTCCTTTGAGATTTCTGGGCTGTCTGTCACGCACTGCTCTTTTAAGGTCTATCCATAGATTTTCAATTATGTTGAGGTCAGGAGATTGTGAAGGCCATGGCAAAACCTTCAGTTTACGCCTCTTGATGTAATCCCCCGTGGATTTCGAGGTGTATTTAGGATCATTATCCATTTGTAGAAGCCATCCTCTCTTTAACTTCAGCTTTTTCACAGATGGCATCAAGTTACCATCCAAAATTTGCTGAAATTTTATTGAATCCATTTTTCCTTCTACTCGTGAGATGTTCCCTGTGCCACTGGCTGCAACACAACCCCAAAGCATGATTGATCCAACCCCATGCTTAACAGTTGGACAGAGGTTCTTTTCATTAAATTCTGTGCCCCTTCTTCTCCAAACGTACCTTTGCTCATTCCGGCCAAAAAGTTCAATTTTAACCTCATCGGTCCACAGAACTTGTTTCCAAAATGCATCAGGCTTGTCTATATGTTCATTTGCAAAGTTCAAACGATGATTTTTGTGGTGAGGACGTAGAAGAGGTTTTCTTCTGATGACTCTTCCATGAAGACCATATTTGTACAAGTATCTCTTTATAGTGGAATAGTGTACCACAACTCCAGTGTCTGCCAGATCTTTCTGGAGGGATCATGCAGTCAAACGTGGGTTTTGAATTGTTTTTCTCACAATCCTGCGAGCTGTTCTGTCTGATATTTTTCTTGGTCTTCCAGCTGTTGCTTTAACTTCCACAGTTCCTGATGACTGCCATTTCTTAATTACATTCCGAACAGAGGATATTGACATCTGAAATCACTTTGCTATCTTCTTATAGCCTTCTCCAGCTTTGTGAGAGTCAACTATTTTCAGTTTCAGTTTTCTAGACAACTGCTTAGAAGAACCCATGGTGCTGATTGTTGGGGCAAGGTCAGATGAGTCTGGGCATTTAAAACCTTTGAGATTGACATCACTTGGTCTTCCCAGACGATGATTGAGAACAATCCATGACACTGGAAGGTCTCAACTTTGCAAAGGGGGCAGTGCATGCTATAAATTCTGCAGGGTGCCCAAACTTTTGCAGACGCCATTTTTTTGTTTTCTGTTATTTTGAAAGTGTAAATGATGGAAATAAAATCTAACTTTTGTTGACATATTATAAGAATGTCTAATCTGTAATTTGATGCCTTTTGGAGATTTTTCCATCTTTCCTTGGCTTCTTTATGCACATTAATACAAATGTTTAGCTGGGGTGCCCAAACTTTCGATCCCCACTGTACATATGCATGTAAAATCCTCCAATGCCTAGTACACACGATCAGAAAGTCGTACGAAAAATACCACTTTCTAAGCGATCGTACGATAATCTGACCGTTCGTACACAGCTTTCATCCGAAATTATTTGAAAGGACAAACACGAAAATTTTTCTTGTACGATACCAGATCGTACGATTTTCGTTTATTCAGTACAGTTTTTCCTCCGAAAATACAATACAAATACATCACTTCTGAATTTTCTTTCTTTCATAACAACTTCGTAAGAATTTTCGTAACTTTAGTAACCTCTTCACTTTCGATATGAGACTAGAATGGAAAAAAAACAAACCAGATGATCATCCGTCCAATATTCTCATCATATGTATGGGGCTTAAGGCACTGCTGCCTCTGACTGCTAGTCTCACTAAATTTGGAATGACATTTAGTCATGTCACTACTCCGCTTCTCACTGTTCTCTTAGCTGAAGAGGAAGCCGTACTTGAGGAGCTGCAGAGCAAGGATCTCCCCACTTTTGCTTAAGGCTTTCTGTGGATCTGGGCTTCCTCCAATTCTCCTGCTGTTTCTTAAATATTACCCTGTCATTCATCAGATCACCAGTCATCATGGGAGCAGCAGTGACATGTTGAAGTAAAGCCCTGTTCCTCGATGAAGATTGCCTGCCCCCCCACCCCCACAGAGGGACCTCTTTAAAGGAGGAGTTTAGGGGGTAAACAACAAGTTCTTTGAATAAGCATTAGAATTCTGTTTCAAGCTAAAAGATAAGTATGTGGAAAAAAAAAAATTATACCCACCTAAGTGGATGCAGTATCGAACACCCGCCGCCTATAAAACCGAGAACCAAGCAATCACATGAGCGCTGATCACTCAGTTCTCTTCTGTGAGCAGAAAGCAATGACTGTCAGTCACCGGTTCTCTGCTCTGCACCTCCAGTGCTCATTGAATCACCGGACTGTGGAGGGGGTGGGAGCAGCTGACTCAGGCTCTCAGCAGAGAGCTGGGGGGCTGAGCCAGCTGCTGGTCAGACATCTGGGTGGATCCCAACAATAAAGTCAGGATCCCTCCAGAGTCTGGACAATCTGACTTTAGCCCACTGCTGGATGAATATGGGTGACAGAAGTGCACTCCTGTGACCCACAGAAATAGGGCCAAAAGAAATTTGGTGCTACGTCTCCTTTAAAGGTAATAAACAGTGTTTTGGGATCCAGCTTCTTTTTATTTTGTTTGACAATTAAATAAAGAAACCTTTTTTTATAGTAAGGGCTCATTTACACTAATGGTGCCCCCTGAAAAGGCGATCCTGTCCACCCAGTGTAATTGGAAGAATCATTTTGCCATGCATCGCAACCGTAGCATGTGCTTAGCCCCGTTCACTGGCTTTTGCAGCTTAAGGAGGAACATTTGAGGTGGGTGGTGTGTCAATAAAAACACGGAACAACTGAGTGTTTTTACCACTTCCCAACTGCAAGTGTAAACCTATCCTAAGGTACAAACAAAATACTGCATGAATATGTAATCTTTACATTTCCAAATGGCAGGTAGAATCCTACTCCTGCTAAATCCAACTTCACTGTAAAAAAGGAAAATGTTTACAGAGCTCAATAGCTCAATCTTAAATTTTACATGCACAAATAAATGAGACAATAGAGCCTATGAAGCTGCATGTTTGATATCACACCAGCCCTGTGTGCTCACCTGTTTGGCGCACTCTCGCAGCCAGATTTTCACTTCCTCCTCTTTCAGTGAGCAGCCAGTGAAGACAAGGACGCAGTGGTGATGCATGCTGTTCTCTCGCACATCATGTCTTGGGTCCGGGGGAGGGGCTGGTCCATCCTCTGCTGGGAGAAGTCTTAGCGAGTTGCTCAGTGTGTGATGGCAAACTTCCACCATCTGCTCAGAATCTGTAACACAATAAGAGGGTCCTCTAAACACAAGCAATATTCAAACTTGAATCTGTGCCTAATTCAGGCAAGCATTTGTGCCACACAGGAACAGAGCTGAGTCTGTCAATCACCTGGAGCTCCCTCCCCAGTCACATTTTTACTCTTGGTGTCAGGAAAACTTGTCAGAAGAGGACCCGACGTCCTCCTTATCAACAGATTATGTCATTGGTTGTTAGGATGCTGACTGCTAGAAGGTCATAAAAGTGCACAATAAAAACTTGTGACTGTGTACTAAAAGGCAGAATTGATCCACCTGCTGGCTTGTATACAATTTTGGGGCATTTTGCCAAAGCACCCCTGAAGAAGCCTGAAGGCACCCCTGAAGAAGCCTGAAGGCACCCTGATTGAAAAAGGCTGCACTAAGCAATAGGGCAGCAACTTGCCACGGGACCCAGAAGCCAGCGGAGATCACTGGAGTAGTGGTGTATACTAACTTGTGATTTCTGCTTTCATGGGAATCGGCAAGGTATAACTCATGTATACTTACATTGGTCCAAGCTGGACTAATAGAACTATGCAAAATCAGCTATACCTGGAACTCAGCTCGACTGTCTAAGAGTACCTTGGAATGCCTGGGATAGGTTCAGTAGGAAATGCTGCAAGGGTCCATCTTTACATGTAAGCCAGTGACCTTTTGTATAAATATATAGAGCCCCTTCCATTTTTGTTCTTTAAATAGAGGCATCTCATCATACCCTACGAGTCCAGTTCTTGGATTCATTCCCATCCTAGGGAGGTAATTCTAGGATCAGATCCTGCTAAACTAATCTCCTCCCTGTACACTATCCTACTTACACCATCTGCCACTAAATTGGTATAAAAAACAAAATGGGATTACAACCTAAGGGATTTCTGCTGATGACCGCTTAAGACAGATATACATTCTACACTGGGCTTTCCGGACTCCAGTTTGTGTCTCTCCTATAAACCATCCTAAGGCCCGTTATGCCCTCTATACTCAGCAAGCATGGGCACTTTTTCCCAGCTTATGTGGGCATGTCCAGTTGTACTGACCTTTTTTTTTTTGACTCAATTAGTTGTCCCTGGACCTGAAACAATGTCTCAACAGCCTTGCACATTACCTCAGCAACAACGTATTTATTAAAAGATAAAAAAAAGGTGTCTACCCACAAGCGCCAAAAAAATCTCAAGCATGTCACATCCAATACTGGCCAATAGAACCAGAGTCCTGGATGAAGGAAGACGCTAGGAAAATGGCTGATGCGTTTCGAAGGGAGATCCCCTTTCCTCAGAGCCAATTTCCCAAAACGATGCAGCCAAAGGAAAACAAGTAACCCCCTGCGCTCAGAGATCAAGATCAAACATGTCAGCCATTGTCCTAGCGTTTTCCTTCATCTGGGACTTGCACAGGACTCTGGTCCTATTGGCCAGTATTGGATGTGACATGCTTGTGATTTTTTGGCGTTTGTGAGTATACACCTGTTTTATCTTTTAATAAATACATTGTTGCTGAGGTAATGTGCAAGGCCGGTGCGCCTTCTTTTGTTCTTACTTTGCGGCATTGTCCTGGGCTTCCCCAGCCTTCCAAAAGGGCTGCACAGCATTGCGCATATTTGGTGGATCAATCTTGTTAAGGAAGGTCTGTCCACATTTGCCTGATCTGGGTCTCTGAGTGCAGGAGGTTACTTATTTTCCAAAACAACGTCCGCTTGGTCTTCTCCCTGATCCTGATACCAATACGTTTCTAACCATATTTCTTCACTAAGCTCGTTTCAATGCACGCAAAGTTTTTGCACAGAATTAGACGCCAAGTAACCCCATCTACTTTAGAATCATGGGTCCTAGAGGTGACTCTCATCCTCCCTTACAGGAAGGTAATTTACTTATACAGAGGGTGTCCTGCTAAATATAAGTAACTCTGGAATAGATGGTTCGCTCAACCAGCCACATGTATTTAAGGTGACCCCCCATGTGTTTTCATAATTCATCTTATTTAATGCTGTGAATATTTCAATGCTTCACTCTGTGGGCCGTCAGTAATTGCTGATAAACCTGTCATTTATGAGCTACTCCCTCGTAACATTTTCCTCATTGGCGGTCCCGGGGGATGTCACTAAATGTACAATTGATACGTGTATATGCTTTTTATACATGCATGCTGTTTCTGTAGGCAGTAAATGTTATGTTTCTAAAAAAAAACCCTTTTATGTTATTATTTTCTGTTTAAGGATGTTTTTCCCTTGACACCGCTTCAGTTTTATTTTTATGTAATAGTCATTGGCATTATGGGATGCATGATTGGCTTTTATCTAACAGCTGTTCTAAGCTGTCCTTATATTGATCTCAATAAAGTTTTTTTTTTTTTTTTTTAAAGTGAAATTGGGGCATCTTACAAGGTGTGGAAAAAGGTACTCTGGTGTCCACATCCCCAGTAACAAAGTGATGATGATCCTGGGAATATTATCAAGAAGTGGGATGGGACAAGGTACCATCTTCAAAGGAACTTGATATTGGTTTGAATACGACAATGTTGATAATGCCCTGGAATGTCAATGAGCTCCATTTGTTCCAAGTTTCAATATCGACCATCTCCCAAGTATTAGCCTCCCAGAACTTCATACAGGAGAGCTTGGTGGAGTTATTATTATACAGTATTTATATAGCGCCAACGGTTTGCTCAGCACTGTACATTACAATGGGAGACAGTACACGAGACAGTACAGTAACAATACAATACACGAGGGGTTCGAGGGCCCTGCTCCTTGGAGCTTACAATCTAGGAGGGAGGGGATAGTGGTACAGGAGGAAATAGCTGTGGGGGATGGAATGGTAGGAAGAGTGGAGGAGATCGGCAATTAGTTGAGGACGGGGTAGGCTTCCCTGAAGAGATGGGTCTTCAGGGTGCGTCTAAAGGAGAGGAGGGTAGGTGATAGTCTGATGGATTGGGGTAGGGAGTTCCAGAGGATGGGGGAAAGTCCTGGAGAAGCCATGGAGGCGGGCATGGGAGGAGGAGACCAGGGAACTAGAGAGTAGGAGGTCTTGTGAGGAGCGGAGAGTACATTTAGGGTGATATTTGGATATCAGGTCGGTGATGTAGTTTGGGGCAGTGTTATGAACAGCTTTGTACGTCAATGTTAGCAATGTTAGCATTTTTCATCAGTGAGAGAAGGTGATCCTCCTAGCTTTATGTGTAGGCCACTGAGAAAATGTGTGATTTGGTGAAATCCAAAATTTTTCATCTTGGGCATCTTCAATGAATCTAAGCAATATATCGAAGATACTATACCAGTAAATCTGATGAAGTGCCCAATGCAGATAAATCCTTTGTTGATTCACCATTGTAGGTTGGAGCCCAGAATAAAGGATGGGTTCTTGAAGGCCGGGGCTAAAGGTGTGCAATTTGTATTGTTTACTGAGGTTGTCTCCCAGGGAGAGTTAATAGCATAGAATAGAGGCCAAGGTAGGAGGTCCCTATTTAGATCAGGGGTCTCCAAACTTTCTAAATAAAGGGCCAGTTTATTTTCCTTCAGACTTTAGGGGAGCCAGACTGTGGTCAGTGGGAGTGGAAATTTTCCTAGCATTGGTATTAGGGGGAGGAATAGTGACCCATTGTTGATATCATTGGGAGGAATAGTGCCCATTGTTGATGTCGGTTGGCAGTATAGTGTCTCATATCAGTGGGAGGAATAGTGCCCATTGTTGATGTCGGTTGGCAGTATAGTGTCTCATATCAGTGGGAGGAATAGTGCCCATTGTAGATGTCGGTTGGCAGTATAGTGTCTCATATCAGTGGGAGGAATAGCGCCCATTGTTGATGTCGGTTGGCAGTATAGTGTCTCATATCAGTGGGAGGAATAGCGCCCCAAGGGCCAGGGGGAGTGGAAATTTTCCTAGCATTAATGTGAGTAAACATCACCACATTAGGTATTAGGGGGAGGATTAGTGCCCCATCATTGATATCATTGGGATCAGTGGTCCATTGTTGGTGTCAGTGGGAGAAATGGTGCCTCATTGTTGTCAGTTTTCAGTATAGTGTATCGTATCAGTAGGGAGAATAGTGCCCCAATCTACAGGTCCATAGGGGTGTTAGGAGTAGATAGAGAATTTCAGTAGTTTTTTCTGCTTCCTTTTTCAGCAAAAAAGGGCCAAAACCAGGAGGGCAAATTGAAAACTAATTTACAGGATGAAAATAGAATTAAAAAAGTGTTCCTGTATTCATCGTATGCTTCCCACCAACTGCCCACCAAATAGACTAGATGTAGAGCAGCAAACAGAAGACGTGAAAAGAGAACAATGTTTTCGATAATGACAGCAAATGAGGACCTTCACTGTGCTGAGTGTGTTAAGCTCCTTTTAGAAGGAATACTGAGAAATATTATACATGGATCAATGAAATAAAGCATCCCCATAAGCATATAATAGAATGATAATATGTGAAATAGAGACAGATAAGATGTGAAATAGAGACGGATAATATGTGAAATAGAGACGGATAAGATGCAACGAAGACCATAAAAACAAACAGGTATCACATTAATCATACTGAACACACTAAACTCCCACATACAACAGCTTACCTGAAAACTTGACTCTCCCGACTATATGGTAAATGTTACCAAGGAAGGGGAAAGCTTTCATGGATGACCTTATGGCTGCAAAGAAAAAAAAAGAAAGATTTAAAGAATGCATCAAATAAACGTAAGGATAGATTTGGAGGTTGTCAATCTCCCTTTCTTCTGAAGCCAGATTTGTGCTCAGATTGTGCTTCAGAGGCCAATGGCAGGTGATGAGGAAGCGATGGGACGCCTCCTCATTGCCTGTTTTAACCCCATTTTTCCTGCATTTGCGGTGTTTCTCCATATGCTTGAGTGTGTAGCATTCAGTGGGCCTGCTGCCTGCCAATTGTTTCATGCTGCGTAAAATTTGCTGTGGGCGAGAAGTCAAGCATTGCAACCGCGGAATGCGAACACAACCATTCACTGCCTATTGCAGCTAAAGGAGATGGGGGGGGGGGGGGGTAATTGGTTGCCAGGCGGCAAAAACAAACCTCAACCACACATTTTTGCTGTCCTCAGATGCACGTCTAAATGAAGCCTAACAATTTATTTAGAAAAACAAAGTGGAACTGTGGCCACTTACAAACATAAATGCGCATTAAAACAAGCTCTTGCGGACCTCCCTGTAGCTTAAAGCACTGTGAAGTAATTCATCTTCAAAGTTTACAACACTAAGGGTCCATTCACACCAATGCTCTAGAATAGCACCCCAACACACCTTCGCAGCACCTGCAGTGCAGCGCAACAAAGCACTAACAAGTGTTGCAGTGCACTGCTGAAAATGCAGCATACATGATGGGCTGCTGCAATGCATGTTAATGACTAAACTGGTATAAATAAGTCCTAAAACTTTCGTTTTCATTTCAGCAGCTCAGCTTATTCTGTTCCCCCTTCCAGCAGTGACTTGGCAGCTTGCCAGCCTTCTAATGTATTCTTTCCCTTACTACAGCACCCTGATTTTCTTTATCAAAATTAGCTTTAAAAGTACATTTAGGGCGTACCTTTACATCTTGTCATGAAGCGAGCCTTTTCCAGCGGTCGGCTGAACCACACACTGATACGATCCATCTTCGGGGACAGAGGTCCTGCTAAAAACCTACCGTCATACCTAAACAAGAAAACAAGTACTTCTTTTATTTGCTCCCTTTTTATAAGTCAAAAAAAAAGTTGATTCTGCCAGCAATCCAGTGAGCTCATAACTTCCTGTACTCTGCCTGTTAGGTTTCCCTATGTGGATAAGTGATCCAGACAGACAGAATATACTCCTGTTTAGTAGTGATGGTAGGATAGAACCAGCTATTTAAAGTGGTTATAAAGGCTCAAGGTCTTTTACCTTCATGCATTCTATGCATGAAGGTAAAAAACCTCTGTGCAGCAGCCCCCCCTAATACTCACCTAAGCCCCTTCTTAATCCAGCGATGTGCACTGAAGTCTAGGCTATCTTAGGACTCCCTCTTCTCACTGGCTGAGACAGAAGCAGGAGCCATTGGCTCCCACTGCTGTCAATCACAGCCAGTCAGCCAATGAGAAGAGATAGGGGGTGGGGCTGAGCCTAGGCTCCATAGACACACGGAGCAGCAGGTGCCCCCATAGCAAGCTGCTTCCTGTGGGGGCACCCGACAGGAGGGGGGGGGGTCAGGAGAGTTTGTGGTGGACTTGAAATGAGGAGGACCCAGGCTGCCTTGTGCAAAACCAATGAACATAGCAGGCAAGTATAGACATGTTTGTTAATTTTTCTTAACAAAAAAAAAAAAAGCCTTTAGAATCACTTTAGTGTTGTGTGTCCCCACTAGAGTTTTATTCTCACTTCCTCCCTCTTGCTGATGTTGTCACCACAAAAGCGAGGAACAATTTCCCCAGGGAATTTATTTTTAACAATAAAAACATGAAGGAGGTTCTAACCCTTACCCATCTGTTCAATACTAAAAAAAATAAAGTTTTTCTTTCACTGTAAAGAGGAAGTTTATTTTTATGTTTTTCTCCCACCTCCTCTGTTTATAGAAAAAAAAAAAGTGCTACTTTTCTTTTCCATGCCATCAGTCTACTTCTTCCTGTGAGCTCAGACTGTAGTTTACAAGTCCCTAAGGGGGGCACATCATCATGTAGGCTGGGCTCATAGTACTCCAGAACTCAAATACGCTCAGTACAGGAAAAATGGCCGCCCCACCGCCACTGAAGGACAAAGTGGAAGCTGCCATGACATCACTGGACTGGCTAGAACAGCCTTTTTCAACCAGGCTGCCTTCAGATTTCTTTAGGGGGTGCCTTGGCAAAATGCCTAAAAATGGCCCAAAAATTGTATAAAAGCCAGTGGGTGGATCAAGCCTGCCTTTTAGTAAGACAAATTCTCCTCTGACCTTGCGGTAGTTGCTGACTTTTATTTTTTTCACCGTAGACTGGAGCTCTGCTTTAAAGTATAACTAAACACTTCTTTTAATATTAAATAGAGCAGAGAGGGGTTAGAACTTGTGTCAGGTTTTATTGTGGGCGAGAATGCACGATCCCAGCACACACGTTCCTGCGTTTAGAAATCGCTGTGTGTGTAAGTGGGTGCTGCAGCGAACAACGGCTGGACCTGAGAGTAGTCAGAGTAGATGAATGTCATCAGCACACCGAGGGAGGATCTCTAATATGGGTCCAAAGCTTTAATAAGCAATCACATAGTTACAGCAAGAGCAACGTTTCGGGCCTCGCAGGACCCCTTCATCAGGCATGTGACAGGTGTTTATTGCTATTTGTGTTCCAATTAGGGAAATGTATTATATTTGTGTTTATTGTCATCACAGAAAGCGGAAGAAAACACCAAATTTTGGGTGGTCCCCAGAACAGAAATAGAGGGCAAATCTTCCACGGGGGACACTAGTTATGGTGACAACTAGGGATTCCCTCACTGTGAAGGGCTCCACTTTCATTTCCTGCTTTGGTAATGGGACAGGAAGTGAAGGGAAATCGCCACATTGGGACACAGATGGCAAAAAAAACCTGACAGGGGTTATAACCCTCCCTTTCAAAAATGGAAAAAGTATTGCCTTTAGTTCTACTTTAAAGAAAATAGGCACCATATTATAGTGGCTGTTAGGAACTTAGTAGTACTAATATTTATTTTCAAAACGTGGGGGGCACCTCTGGACAACCAAGCCTTTTTCTTGGCCAAAAATGTGCAAAAACTGTATAAAAAAAATGTAAGTTATAACATTAGAGATGGTGACAGGTTCCATTTAAAATAATCCAGGGAATCAGCCGGGAAGCAGTGAATTCCACCTGCTAATGATTCTAGAGTATGAGCCATGATCCTACTTATTGGGGTGGCTGCCAAAGACATTTAGTTTTTTGGTGCTTTACATGAAGATTGTATACCCAGCACAGCTGTCACCAGCAATCAGTACCAGTCTATCATAATGGGCTTAGTCAGAGAATGGATCAGAACATCAAAGGGAATGCCTGATCTGTCATTAGAATAATGTAGCAGTATTCTGATTTCTATTCACTTACCAGCCGGGGTACATCAAATATCGAGTTCTTAACATTTGAGGGCTTGAAAAGCTGCTTTCAGAAAGGACCAGCTCGATGTCCTCATTTCTGCAGAGGAAAGAAAAGGCAGAAAGAGTCATTTTAGGATACTCAGCTCCTACATGGAACATCTTATTAAACCCCGGACAACAAAGGCAAGAAATGGTGGGAGTAAAGTGATCAGCATCCTCTACTGTCAATCTAAGTCAGCTGTAATGAGAAGGAAAGGCATGACAGGGCACTGAGGGCATCTGGATCATAATGAACATTTAAAACAGCATAAAATTATACACTAAATCCAAAACTAAAAGCAAAGTTTTAAGTTAACACTTTTAGCAGCCATTGCTACTGGGCCACTATAAGGTCAGTCGACTCCTGTGTCAGATATGACAGGTTGGATGACAGGTTTTTTCATATTTTATACACAGTTGTGTTCAAAATAATAGCAGTGTGTTGAAAAAAGTGAATAAAGCTGAAAATCCTTCTAATAGCTTTTATTTCCATACACACAAATGCATTGGGAACACGACACATTCTATTCCAAATCAAAACATGAAGAAAAATAGATCAAATTTGTGTTGTTCCTCTAAAAAAATTGAAGAAAAGTGAATATTAGACTGTTCAAAAAAATCGCAGTGTTTGTATTCTTCTTTACAAACTCAAACATTCACTATATAAACTGAAAAATGTTTGAAGATTTTGCTTTCCTTTGAATCACTTCATGAATATTTGGTTGTAGTCGCACTGTTTCTGAGAACTGCTGTACATCTGTGTTGCATGGAGTCACCCAACTTCTGGCCCCTGTGATCAGGTATTCCAGCCCAGGATGATTGGACGACATTCCACAGTTCTTCTCTATTTCTTGGTTTTGCCTCAGAAACTGCATTTTTGATGTCACCCCACAAGTTTTCTATTGGATTAAGATCCAGGGATTGGGCTGGCCACTCCATAACGTCAATCTTGTTGGTCTGGAACCAAGATGTTGCACGTTTACTGGTGTGTTTGGGGTCGTTGTCTTGTTGGAACACCCATTTTAAGGGCATTTCCTCTTCAGCATAAGGCAGCATGACCTCTTCAAGTATTCTGATGTATTCAAACTGATCCATGATCCCTGGTAAGCGATAAATAGGCCCAACACCGTAGTATGAGAAACATCCCCATATCATGATGCTTGCACCACCATGCTTCACTGTCTTCACAGTGTACTGTGGCTTGAATTCAGTGTTTGGGGGTCGTCTGACAAACTGTCTCCGGCCACTAGACCCAAAAAGAACAATCTTACTTTCATCAGTCCACAAAATGTTGCGCCATTTCTCTTTAGGCCAGTCAATGTGCTCTTTGGCAAATTGTAACCTCTTCAGCACGTCTTTTTTCCAACAGTGGGACTTTGCGGGGGCTTCTTGCAGATAGCTTGGCTTCACATAGGCGTCTTCTAATTGTAACAGTCCTCACAGGGAACTTTACACCTTCTTTCATCTTCCTGGAGCTGATTGTTGGCTGAGTCCTTGCCATTTTGGCTATTCTTCTATCCATTTGAATGGTAGTTTTTCGCTTTCTTCTGCGTCTTTCAGGTTTTGGTTGCCATATTAAAGCATTTGCGATCATTTTAGCTGAGCAGCCGATCATTTTCTGCACTTCTTTATATGTTTTCCCCTCTCCAATCAACTTTTTAATCAAGGTACGCTGTTCTTCTGAACAATGTCTGGAACGACCCATTTTCCTCAGAATTTCAGAGAGAAATGCACTGTAACCAGCATGTACAACATTTGCTGCCTTCCTTCCTTAAATAAGGGCAATAATTGCCACCTGTTTTTCACAGAATGAATGACCTCACTAATAGAACTCCACACTGCTATTATTTTGGACACAACTGTATATATATATATATATATATATATATATATATATATATACCCCACACACACATATATACACACACACATATACACTAATCAATCATTACACTATGACCACCCACCCACTATAACCACCAGCAAAGGCATGAACTCCACTACACATTCTGAAGGTAAGCTGTCAGTAGCAGATCCTTTAAGTTCTGTAAGTTGCGAGGTGGGACCTCCATGGATTGGACTTTTTTTTTCCAGTACATCCCACAGATGCTCGATTGGTTAGAGATCTGGAGAATTTGGAGGCCAAGTCAACATCTTAAACTGATTGTTGTGTTCCTCAAACCATTCCTGAATTCATCAGACCAGGCCACCTTCTTCCATTGCTAGGTGCAGCACAGTGGCTAAGTGGTCAGCACTAGGGTCGTCGGTTTGAATCCCAACCATGGCACTATCTGCTTGGAGTTTGCATGTTCTCCCTGTGCCTGCGTGGATTTCCTCCCTGTACTCTGGTTTCCTCCCACACTCCAAAGACATGATGGCATGTTAATTGGCTTCTCTCTAACTTGGCCCTAGTGTATGTATGAATGTGAGTTATGGACCTTAGATTGTACGCCCCTTGAGGGTTAGGGACTGATGTGAATGTACAATATATATGTAAAGTTCTGTGTAAATTGACGGCGCTATATAAGTACCTGAAATAATAATAAT